AGTCGTTGAATTAACATAATAAAATCGGTTTGTATAAAATTTACATTAGGAATAGAGAAAATGATATTTAATAAACAATTGATTGAATTACATTATTGTTAGCCCATTGTGAGGCTAAGCGCACTCCCTCCCCCTAGTATAGATAATATATTTGTTAAAAACAAATCATTTGACAATTAATTTAGTCATATTATTATTCGCGTGCGAAAGACTTTTTTATAAAGAAAAAAATGATCGTTTGACAACTAATTGAATCACATTATTATATGCGTACGAGAAACATTTTTATAACCGGTACTATGCACCTCTTAATTAAAAATTGAGAAATAATATTTAATAAACAATCGCATGCAAAATGCATTTTTTGAATCACAGCGCTCTACCCGTGATTTATATTATGCATTTTAAATGTTTTTGTCATTTGTTTATTATTTTCTTTTTTCCCTTTCATTTTTTTTTATTCTTTTCTCTCTTCCCACTTATATTTATATTGTATTTTATGATAGCCAAATTACCAAATTACCCTAATTGCATTCTATTTTGCTGTTGTGATTTTTTGCGGTCGAGGGGCATTTTGGTCCAACCATGCGTGACCCCAAAATTTTGGCTGCATGTGCACTGTTGTAACATCCCACATCACCCAGGGGAGTGGATCTTGTAAGCCTTATATGTATATTCTCATCTCTACCTAGCACGAGGCCTTTTGGAAGCTCAATAGCTTCAGGTTCTGTAGGAACTCCGAAGTTAAGCGAGTTCGTGCGAGAGCAATCCCATGATGGGTGATCCAATGGGAAGTTTTCGTATGAGTTCCCAAAAACAAAACCGTGAGGGTGTGGTTGGGGCCCGGACAATATCGTGCTACAGTGGAGCGAGCCTGGGATGTGGTGGGGACCTGGGCCGGATGTGTGTGGACGAGGACGTCGGGCCCCTAGAGGGGTGGATTATAACACCCCACATCGCCCAGGTAAGTGGATCTTGTAAGCCTTATATGTATATTCTCATCTTTACCTAGCACAAGGCCGTTTGGGAGCTCATTGGCTTCGGGTTTCGTAGGAACTCCGAAGTTAAGTGAGTTCGCGCGAGAGCAATCTCATGATGGGTGACCCACTGGGAAGTTCTCGTGTGAGTTCCCAAAAACAAAACTGTGAGGTCGGGGCCCAAAGTGGACAATATCGTGCTATGGTGGAGTCGAGCCTAGGATGTGGTGGGGGCTCGGGCTGGGATGTGAAAACTGTTGTGCACTGTTGATCCTAGTTATGAAAAAATTATTTAAAAATAAATTTACCAAATTACCCTTGGATTATTTTATGCATTCATATTTCATGCTTTGAAATTTTTTTGGCTAAGAGGTATTTTCGTCCAATTTTTTTTTGTCAAAGCCCGTGATACCAAAGTTTTCATCCGCATGTGCACTGTTTTGCACTGTGCACTTTTCCATTGGCATTCTATATATAAGATTTGGTGATTTCTAGTTGTCTATAATGTAGGAATTGGCTTAAGCTAAAAATAATCACAATTCTAAAAGGAAATAAAACCTATTGCCAGATATAATTTAGGATTCTCCCGGTTTATAAGGATTTATTATCCTAAAAAGTTTCTCTCTTGACTAGTATAAATACACCATCCTAGAATTCATCAAAGATAATTCAATAGTCTAATATCATGCACATATATAAATATAACTCTTGCTCCCTTGCTCATTGCTTTAGTTCTATAAATCCTTAACTAACTTGATCGTTGGAAAATCTTCGAACGATACCACACCGGAGATTTCACGATTGTTTGCTCTTTCTTGTAAATAGTCGATCAAAGCACTCCTCCACTAACAGTGGTGCAGAAATTTGATTCCAACATGCATGAATACCTAAATTATATAGCATCGCAATTCTATCCTAGATTGGATTGTTATGCTTATGCGCCACGCTTGATAACAATATTTATAGATTCCCATAATTTAAGTTTGTATAAAGCCTACTTAGTGTATAGGAGATCCTTAGAAAAATAATAATTTTTCTTTTACCTAAGTTAAATTAATTTAATTAACATTGATACTCAAAGAACTGAAAGATTTTTCAATGTGATCGGTATATGAGGTTGTACACCGCGTATCATTATACAAATGGTGGAATATGTGTGTTAAAAAGTTAATAACTTAAGAAATAAAATTTCCTACCATTTACATAAAAACACATGGTATACCACTTGTGTTCCCATCACAATAAAAAATTTCTCCAAAGAACCCTTCAAAATACTACAAAATTTCAAAGGATTAGGATTCTCTTCCCTCCTTTTTCCGCCCCCTTCCATTCTCTTTTCTCACATTCTCTTATTTTGTCTTTTTCTTACAATAAAAAATTAATATTTTGTCTTTCTCTTACAATAAAAAATTAATATAAGATGTTGACGTGACTTAACCATGACTGTTCAAATAAGAGGAGAGGGAAGGGGAGGGAAAAAAAGAAAAGAGAGAATCCTACTCCAATTTCAAAAGCCAAAGTCCTATTGCCTAATTGTTCACTGTTCCCAATGCTATTGTTTACTTCAAAAGTTTTTAGGGATAAGATAATGCTATAAATTTTCTATATGTGTCGCTGAAGATTTTTTGCAGTATCTAAATTACCTATTTACAAAATTCTTTTAGTCAACCAAAAGAGGTAATATATTTTCATAAAGTCAAATTTTGCTGTTTTTTATTTAAATCTCACTTATATGTGATTTTAACATATATCTAATATCAAAAATTAAAAAATTAAAAACAAAAATCTCTCTCCCTGCTCTCACTCCCATGTTCTCTTTCTCCATTACTTCTTCCCATTTAAAACAAAAATAAAAAATGTTCACACCCAAATTGTCTAGGCATATGTTAGTATTTATTATTATTTCTAAATCACATATTAATAGAATCGTTTTTATTAGCCAAAAGAGGGTGGAAAGATTATTTAGGTTTTTTTTTTTTTTTTTCCTTTTCTGAACAACGATATTGTCTACATTAAGGGGGAGGGGGTAGGCTACGCCACACAATGAGCTAGCAATAATGTGGTTCAAATTCACCTTTGATGAAAATCGAGCTAAGACTCTTACTTACAAGTAAAGATGTATACCGTTAGATCATAGTACTAAGTGGCCACCTACATGGGATTTTAGCATATATCTAATATTTAAAAATAAAAAATAAAAAACCCCTCTTCCTACTCCTACTCCCACATTCTCTCTCTCTCTCTCTCATTCTCCTTCCCATTTTAAAAATATTCACACACACAAAATGTGTAGGCATATGCTAGTGTATATATACTTGAACTTTAATTGACGATCTTTTGTTTCATTTTTTCAAGTCATTATGTTCTTTTGTACTCCTTTGTTTCCAAAGAAACTATAGGCGTGATGGTCTAGTCTCTCACAGAGAGAGATCCTCTCCGGATCTCTTCTATCAAGGCCACCGAATCAAGCGACTTGGACTTTTGAAATTTGATCTAACAGTTAAAAACAAAGGTCCCCTTTAAAAATTATAATAATTTTAACCATTGGATCAAATTTCAAATGTCCGGATCACTTGATCCGGTAACCTTGAAGGAAGAAATTTGGAAATGGTATATTTCCGTCTCTCACTAAGTTATAGTCATAAATTATTTGTTTTAAAAAAGAAAAATGTTTGCACTTTCTACCTTAAAGTAGTGTGCTTGAAAACTTTTTGTTGCGTTTCTTTGATGTTTTATATATTCTATTATTTTTATGAACAATCTTACATGTAGAATGAAGTCATGGTTTTCAAAGAAACTTTCTACTCTCCGTCAAACAGTTAAAGAGCATCTTCAAAGAGATGTTAAAACTGCCACATAAGTATATAACAGTAAAAATTGACAGTAAACTTTCTTCAACCGAGCCTTCAATTTCCTACGTGACGCTGAGTCAATTGAATGCAAAGTTTTCTGTCAAATTTGACAGCAGCTGTCAAATCCATTTAATATTTTTTTAATAGATTTAATGGAAATATAATAAATGTGGTTGTGTATTTTAAGAATTTGATTGGTTGCCTACATTAATGGACCCTACAAAGTGATTAAAAAATTTTAGAACGACATTATTATTATACGGGATCGAAAAATTGTACAAAATACAAAATTGCCACATAAACCATCAAATATTAATTTAACGTTTTAAATTTGACATCTTGTTTGGAGATACTTTAAATGCTCAACCAACAATATGTTTTAGTTCAATAATGGGTGCGCGTCATATTGTACCAGCATATGCCACCTTTATGCAGACATCTAATCTCATCTTCTATTAAAGTCCATATAGAAAATCAACAAAATCTTCTTGTCAAATTATAAGTGATAAAAATAGTTCATATATTAATTTTTAATTTCATATAGAACAGAACATGTAATCCTCTTTATTTAAAATATTTCTAAACGAATTTGAACTCAAGCAAACTGCCCAAAATAGTATTAGACTGTCATACCCTTAACATTATTGACATACACTATCCAGTTGCAAAAAAAATTTACACAATCAACAGACAACCAATTAGAGCTCAGTACTGAGCTTGAATTTTTTAAGCTCGCACGAATTCAACTCGTATAATTCTGCTCGTCTAAGAAGTAGGCCAAGCCTAACTTGAGCTCTCAAAATATAAAACAAGGCAAACGCATGACAATAGTGATACCATCAATATATTTTTTTATTTTTTATTTTTGTTTTCAAACCATCAGTGCTTTTTTTAATTATTAAATCGTCTCTTATTTTATCATTGTCAATCACTAGTGGTTGCGCATTTAATCAGAGCTATAAATTGGCTCTTACATTCATTCAGAATAAATAAACATAACCAGTAGACAAAGATGAAAAGAGTCCTTTCTTCTCTATTTTTTTATTTTCTTGAATCAAAGAAAAGATGGTATCAAGGCAGTAACACCCTGGCCAAATCTTATAACAAAAGTTAAAAATAAATAATATGAAACCCTTGCTACCAGTGAGTACCTATCAACCATCATAATTAATTACCATGAATTCAGTGGGTACCTATCAATACAGTCGCTCCATGGATTGCCATCACCACCTTGACCTAAATCCGAAACTGCCTTCCAAACAAGACTTCCGACCTTAAACCCTGTCCCAAACGCCAACATCCAAACCCTATCTCCTTTCCTAACTCTCCCCTTAGCCTCAAAATATGCTAACTCATAAAATACAAGACTACTCGATGTGTTCCCGAATCGGTGCAAACTCATCCGAGCCGGCTCAGTCAACTCGTCACTCAAACTCAGAACCCGCCCAACCTGCTCGATCACCGCTTTCCCGCCCGTGTGAATACAAAAATGATCAAATGCCTTGGTAAAATCCGGGACTATCGGTTTCGACTTCCCCCCTGAAAATGCACAACCAATGACCGAGTACACGTAAACACCAAGTTGAGTCAGTGGTAGGACTCGGGGAGCAAGAATTTTGATGTGCTCAAGTAAATGCATGCCCGCAACCGCTATTAAATCTTTATTAAGAGCAAACCCGGTATTGCCCTTGTTATCCTCCTCTTGAAATGCGGCTTTATAAGCTCGATCACTCGCTCCGTGGTGAGTACGAAGCGAGTGAATGAGTTCCATCTTTGCAACCAGGCGGCAACAAGGGTCGTTTGTGATCAATGCGGTCGCACAACCGACTCGAAAAATGCAATTGGTTACAAGCATGGGACGGTTATCGCCATAGTACCAATCCAAACTAATAGTCTCGGTTACGACCACAAGAGCATAACCAATTTTTTTGCTTTGCTTCAACAGATTGGCGGCTAGATCAATTGATATTACTCCAGAACTGCATCCCATGCCACTTAGATTGTACGTCTTTACGTCGGGTTTGAGATTGAAACGGTTGACAATGAGGGATGTGAGGGAGGGCACGGGAGAGAAGCTCCCGCATGTAACAATTAGGCAATCGATACGACTTGGGTCGATGTTGGTTTTGGCAAGGAGTGAGTTGATGGATGAGAACATGCCTTGTTGAGCTTCATCCAGAGCATATTTCAAGTTCGCTTCGGGGTTTGATTCGAAGACGAATTGTGGTGCGTAGGTCTCGTCTCCTAAGCCGGATTTGAGGTAGATTTTACGCATGAATTCTCCGCTTTCTTCGGTGAAGCGATTCGTCCTGCATACGAAGGACTCGGAGGCTGCGTAGCTGCATTTTTGGTTAGGGTTTGGTTGGAAGCATGAGAAATTAAGGAGGAAGATGGACTTGGGACGAGAGTTGTAGTAGTAGAAAAATATGGAAATGGAAAGGCACCAAATGCAAGACAATGAAAGTGTAGGGTTGGTGGTGAAGAGAAAATGGAGGATGTTTCTGTATTGGACTGGATTGGATCGGATTGAATTAGACTGCATGTTAATTGATAAGAGAGTTGTGGTTAATAAAAGTGCTGCGAAAAAGGCTTGGTGGAATTTCAAATTTGAAGTGGACTTCTTCATGTTTGTTTTCTAAAAGTTGTTTTTTGCAAACTCAGTGAAGGAAGATTGGGGGAAGAGGGGGTTATATAGAACGGATATGATTTTATCACCTTTTTTTTAACCGCAGACTTTTTGTGTATTTTTATCTTTTAGCTCTCTTTTAATCTATTTAATTTAAAGGTCAAATATGAACAGAGATGGATACGAAATAAAAACGAATAAACGAGTATGGGAAAATTGATTTTCCTATATAAAAATGTGAAAACTGAAAAGACAGCAACGGCCTTCTGGACAGCCAACTTTTCTTGTCGACCAATTCAGCGATATGAACAATCGTTTTGTTTCTGTTGATGAGGAGGAGTAATGTCAAAGAGACTAAATTTATAGAATAAAATTACAAACTAAATGATGTGTCACCAATAAAAAATGAGTACGTTTATCAATGTTTATAAAATTTATTATCTCTTTTTCTGGGTTATACCGTATACATGCGCAGATAAATACATAATCCCTTTGACTTTATGGATACATTCCTGGAAAATACATGTCTAATTATTATAACTGGTTTCAAAATTTATTACTTAAACCTTGCCAACGAGAAATTTTTAGTTGTGATAGAAATACAAGTGGTACACTATGTGTTTTAATAAGAATAGTGGGAAATTTTATTCTTTAAGTTATTAACTTTTTAGTACACATATCCCACCATTTGTTTAGTAACACATGATGTACTACCCCGTATACCAGTTACACTGAAAAATCTCTCATTGCCAACAAAACCCCCACCTTTCCTGTAGAGGCGTATTAAGGCAGGTGGGGATTTCAATTGTCACACTACACTAGTCATTACTCAAGGATTCATGATGTGGTTGAATTTGGTAATGTATTAACTCAGTGCAACATTTTCCTAAGCAAATGTGAAAGAATTAATTGTTCTAACCTCTAAAATGAATTATTTCGATACTTTTCATTTAAACAATAAGATTTTATTGTAATCACATTTATGCATGATCACCTACTTTGACAGTGTAATAAGAGCATCTAAAAAATATGAGATGTCAAATTTAAACATAAAATTTGAATTTGACAGTTTATGTGACACTTTAACATTTTTTAAAGTTTTATTTTATCACACTATTTTCTTTTCAAAAATTTAATTATATATTTTAAATTATATATATAGGGAAGTGTTATTGGCACTCCAAAAATCTCATTTTACACTCCTCACAAGTGTATTTTTCTTTCTAAATATAGAAAGTTTGGAGTGTAGAATGAGAATTTTGGAGTGCCAATAACAATTTCCTATATATAAATATATATAATTGATAAGGATCCTCATCGGATTATATATATTCAGATCTGGGATGAACTGAAAACAAAGACAGAACATCTTTGACATTACAATTTCTCATCTCACAAGTTAAATTAGTCACACACCTTCACACCTGAAACTAAAAATAACAACTTTTCTGCTTCATTGTCAATTCAATATCTTTCTCTCTCTCTCTCTCTCTCTCTCTCTCCCCCCCTCTCTTCCTGCCATTTCTTCAATCCTCTGCAACCAAATCTCTGATGCTAAACTCACTTCATAATCTGGGGTTCCATCAACTGCGTTCACGTCCATCGGAGCTCCACCTCCAAATTGGATCACAATCATCGGTTCCTCCCAAGTTACTTCCTTATTCTTTTCTCTTTAACCCTCCCTCTCTCTGGATTTCATAACTTGCGAACTCAAATTTATGAATCATTTACTTTCCAATGATTAATGGAGAGAAGATTGCGGAAGCCAAGATCGTGAAGTTCAAGTAAGAGAGGTTGGTTTATGGGTTTGGTTTTGAGAAAATGGAAGAAGAAGGACGAGCGGCCGAGGCTGAGATTCTCATATTAGAGTGAGAAAGGAGAGCTGCAGATCTGATTAAAAAAAAAATAATTAAATGATATATGAAGTTGCTATCAAATTTGGTGGCAAGGGGGAGAGATTCTATTCCATGTCATGACACGTCAAATTTGGCTTCTCGGTTGGAAAATATTGTTGTTATCTTTTCTTATCTTTACTGTTGATTTGGATATTTTGACATCTTATTTGGAGATGCTCTAAGATGTTTTCAGAACATAAACACCAACTTTGTTACATTATTAACAATGTAATTATTTGTTATTAACTATAGCTTTATCATTAGTATGTAACATTGAAAATGGATGAAAATTTCGTTTAAGGGTGGTTAGATGAAATCACAACTTGTTGACCCTAAAAATTACAAGGCCTACGTGGCACGTAGGCCGAGTAACTAAAGAACTAACTACATCCTTCGGTTGATGCGGGGTGTGCCAACTCGTTGGCCGAGCTCGGTCGAGGAGTACAATTTGGTGATGTTGCGTTGAGAGCGTTGCTGACTTCTTGATCTTGCGATTGCGGCCGAGGAAGGAACAAGTCTCGGCCTTCGGGTTCTCGAGCCTAAAGACAAGGCTACCAGTTCTACGAAGTTCACGAATTGTTGGTGCTAGATTCGATCACAGTGATTATATTCGTAAGAGTATAAGCATGTCGAATCGACACCAGACTATATGGACACAAGTACTTAAAGGAGATGTATGTCTTGATGGTAAATGTGGTTCGGCCGTTAGAATGCCGAACTCTGAAACTCACTTGTGAGTATCCAATCATAAAATCACTCGGCGTTCAATGTGCCGAATGCGTAACTTGTAACACCTTACTTCACCGGGAAAACTAATAAGATGACCTCTGCCAATAAGGATTCGGAAACCCTTCTCGATCGAGACTTGGATAGGTAACCAGTCGGGCTCGATGTAGTGCTGTTTATCCAAACTGAAGGTGTTCCTCGGTCGACTAATTCTACGGCAACAATGTTATTTATCCAAACTGAAGATGCTTACCGATTGCCTCCACAGTGTTGTTTATCCAAACTGAAGATGTGTCAGTGGAAAAAGAAAAAAAAAATTCTCAAGATGTTTGAGAGGTTTGCGCAGGGCAATTGTGTGTTGAATTGGAGTTCCTTTGAATGATGCACTTTGCTATCTATTTATACCAACAAATACAAACCTAAGCTCGGCCCAATAATATTATTTTGGGCCCAAACATTGCCCCCTCGCTTCTGAGGTCTTCAGCATACAATTCCTTAGCTGACTTTCGACCTTAAAGAAGTGAAATTAAACCCTACAAGATAACTACAGGATAACGAAAAGCCTCAAACATCCCATCCATCGAGCGCATTTATGAAGCACGATCGCACGATCCAAATTCCCATACACGTCTTGCCGCGTGTCAATCCTTTAGTTAACCTAGCAGCCCTTAATCATGACCCTCGAAAACATGCGCTAGCCAAAACATCTTTTCTGTGTTAATGCTTTAAATCCGCCGCAACACGCAATCGTGCGTCCTCAAACCATGAAAACCTCGATCCTATCCCCTAGATTCCCTAGATATCTATAATGATTAGTGATTTCCCAGTCGATTTCACCCTAAAATTTGAAAATTAAACGCTTTTGAAAATCAAACGTTTAACCTTCTTCTCGAATTGCCTATAAATACCCGAATCCCTTCCATTTACATTTTACACCTTTAAAAACCTTGAAAATCCTCTCGCCATTTTTTCCTTCAAAATCCCAGAAAATCTTAAGCTCTTAAACTAGAAATTCTTCCTTCAAACCCAAACAATTCCAATCTTCATCAATGGCTTATTTCATCTCACAGCTTTCTGACGAGTGCAACAAATGCAAAAGCTTCATCGACCGGAGTGCCATCAAAACTCTGCGCTTCGAGAGTGATCTGAGCACCACTCACCAAATCCTAAGGCCACTCTTCAAGGACATAGTACCATCTTCCATTACCACGCTCTTCAAGGCTCATTACCTGACACCTTTGCTGCAAGGATTTGATTGGTCAAAATGGGATCTAACAAAGCCCCAAGGAGTCTGGCCTACGACCAACGCCAACTGGGCAACCTGGGTCATCCAGATGGAAAACTTTTTTGGTCAAGAATGAAAAGCTCTTGGTATCTATGATGCCATTAGACTCTCGACCATGGAGCTAGCCATGGACAAAAAACTTCTTATGGCCGCACTAAGCCTCTGGTGCTCGACCACCAACACCATGATCCTTCCCTTTGGCCCTCTCGGCCCCACCATCCTTGACATCTTAGCTATTGTTAGGACTTCTCCTTTTGGCATCCCAGTATATGCCACTCTTTTTGGGTGCCCGTCGAATCTCAACCTCAAGGCACTTTTCGACGAACGAGCCGTCGAGACACTAAGTCAAGATGGTCAAGAGCCTTCAAAAGAAGATGTTCAGAAGTTACACAAGGACTTCTTTAACTACAACACCCTCATCCTCCATTTCGCTGGCCGAGGGGAGGCAAGTCTACAGAAGGGGGAACACGAAGCCTTCTTATTTTACTGGTACAACAAGTTTATCTGTTGTACCAAGTCAAACAAATACCTAGTCGAAAATATACCGATGGCTGAAGCCTTGGCTAGTGGCCACACCCTGGCGCTCAGTTCGGCCATTCTCGCCAATCTCTTTTACTGCATGGCTGAAGCGATCATTAGTAAAATCGACCCAAACCAGAATAGCCCACTTTGAGTCTTCCAACTCTGGCTATAGGTCTATTTTGCCACACTTCAGCCAGAGATCCCCAACTTCTAGTCCACTA